TTGATGATGAAAATTACGGCAAAATATTTTTGATTTATTTAACATAGAATCATCTATTAATGACAGATCACTAATTTGTATTTAGATACATTGTATTTATTTTCATTTTTTTTTCTCGTTGAATTCTTCGCCTACATGGAATATGGTCCCTTATACATAATTCGTTTACAATAAAATTTGTTTTTTATATCAATAATACCTTATGGAAACTTGTGATGTAGTTAGTGGGGTCTACGTATCAATGATTCGTGGGTGGGTGGGGACAGAAAGACCTGTTCCTATACACACACACACACACACACACACACCCACACACACCACACACACACACACACACACATATATATATATATATATATATATATATATATATATATATATATATATATATATACCGTGAAAAAAAAAACTGAGAATGAACCACTTCTGATTTCTAGTCATTGAAATACTGATTTTGGAACTTAGGTCGACCTGAGTGTTTTTACGACTCCATCTCGCTTTTTGAATATATATATATATATATATATATATATATATATATATATATATATATATATATATCAATAAATCACCGGATTATATATCTTACTGTTATTTCATATATATATATATATATATATATATATATATATATATATATATATACAAAATAGTCTTTGTATACCTTTTGTGTTTTTTCATTTTGTTAACATGTAGAAGCACAGTTTACATTTTGGAGAGTAACAAATTTTCAAATTATATATGGCTGGTGGTCACGAAACTCTTGCACCAGCCACACACACACACACACACACACACACACATACATACATACATACACACACACACATATTATATATATATATATATATATATATATATATATATATATATATATATGTGTGTGTGTGTGTGTAATGGCGGCTCAGCTTCAGTCACTTGCCCACCGCCATAATATTTCTCTCTATGCCTTTTTAATAAATTCATTGTAATCGTTCAGACGAGCTCTTCGCTATTGTACTTAGACTCTACGAATTGAAGTTCAATACTAGATTACAGTTGAGCTGGCTAGATGTAGCCGTAAGTTCTATGCCAACAGTTTCTTTTTTCGCACTTCTCACTTGTGGAATTCCCTTCCGGCTACATGCTTTTTTTTAAGTACAATCTCAATCGCTATCTAAATCATCCAGACCTTCTAACTCCTTGTGTCTTAGTGGTTGTACTGTCTTGCATGGGTTAATACAGATTTTAAAATATGATCTAACAGCGTTATTGTCATTTCTGTTTTATTTAATTTAATTTTTTTTTAAAGTTTTTCAGGTAATTAGACTTCACAGATGCAGTAAATGTTATAGATCTTTCTAATAGTGATTGGCGTATCCTCCCTAAACACTTATATTTAGTATTGCAGAAAGTTAACAATAGATAGATAGATAGATAGATAGATTTCCTGTGACTGTTCTATAAATATCTTCATTGTAATTGCTTTTCTTTCTACTCATTACTAATATTTCTGTTCCTAAATCCTACACACCTGTACTGCCTTCCTTGGAGTATTTTCGATTAATACACACACACACACACACACACACACACACACACACACACACACACACACACACACACACACACACACACACACATATATATATATATATATATATATATATATACAGGCAGTAATTCATTGGTATAATCAAAGCGAGTCCTATTAACACAACATAGAATTTTAAATATTAAATATTAAATGAAATGTTAAAAGTGACTCACAAAAGTGCTCTTAATGTTTATTTTTATTAAACACTAAAATTTTTCGGACAATTGGAATTAAGATTCCATCGCGAGTGAAAATGATCATTCACTAATTGTATCTTTATTACAATTGTACTTAATATATATATATATATATATATATATATATTATAATTATTTTTTTAAAAATATGATTCCTTCGCTACATAAGAGTTCTCATGTTTCAAAAACGAGAGCTGAAACCATCAATATAATTATTAAAATCAAATTGAATTAAAGTAACAAGCCCTGTTTCATCCTCAAGCAAAAATTTACCTGCACACACACACACACACACACACACACACACACACACACACACACACACACACACACACAACACACACACAGACATATATATATATATATATACTTAAGTAACTGTAATTTATTCAGGAGAATTGTTTTAGAACGTCTGTTTAATTTTTCTTATATATTTTAGTTTACGTACTGGCATAAACAAAATAAAATTCATAGAGAATTGTTTAAAGTTCAACATATATTTTTGACCATCACAATTTTTTTTTTGTCATGAACGTTAATGTCATCAGTTTAGAATAGAGAAAGGTTTTCATTAATTCACAGCTTGGCATTTTTCTTCTTTCTTTTTATTGTTTTTTCTTTTTTCTTTTTTTCTTTTTTTTCAATTATACGCGAATCGAATAAAAATGACGTCATGCGCGGAAGAATTTCTGACGCGTTGGGAAAGACCTGTGTTTAAATTGTCTTTTATTTCTCCGTCCCGAGTTAAGGAAGATGTCAGCTCTTGAAGGACATAGATAGTGTTAATTCTTAAAGTTTTAAACTCATTTTTTTTTTTTCTTTTTTTTTGTTTTACATGTCTTCTCCTCAGTTTTATGCGACTAGTTTCATTTGATGCAAGAATAACTGCAAGTATTTTCAGGTATACGTGATTTAAAATTTGGTGTAGTTATGGATGAAGAGCGGTTAAATAACGGAGCGATTATATATAGAGAGAGTGTTGGGCACCTCGAGGCTATGGTTAGCAAGCTTGTCTCGCTAAAACAATTACGACTGAGTAGTGAGTTCGATCCTCACTGGGTGACCCCCTACTTTCGGCCTTGTGCCACATCTAAGCTACGCTTGGAAAATCGCTATATAGGGAGAGTGTAGACATAGGAATCAAGACTACATGGCGATTGTGAGTTTCACAAGTGCTTGGTTTGAAGTTCGCATTTAGAAGTGAAACTGACAGCCACCATGCAGTCTTGATTCCTATGTCCACACTTCTCTCTCTCTCTCTCACACACTCTCTCTCTCACTCTCTCTCTCCATATATATATATATATATATATATTTATTATAAAAACAATCAGCTAATTGACAAATTTTATTTGTATTAATCCTAATTTGCACATATATATATATAAACAAATTAATATACAAATATATACAAAATGAATTTATATATATATATATATATATATATATATATATACACACACAAATTAATATACAAATATATAAAATTAATATACAAATATATACAAAAATAATTTCTATATACGTAAAACAATAGATAGATAGAGAGATAGATAGATAGATAGATAGATAGATAGATAGAATAGATAGATAGATAAGGAGAATATGGCATCATTAACAATGATTTGTGTGGCGATGAACTTTTATATCTATCTATCTCTCTATCTACGCACACACATACACACACACATATATTTAGGGAGAGAGAGAAATAATTAAAGGGAAGTCTCTATTTCGATAGATCGAGAGAGTGCTATATTATACACTAATACGCATATATATATATATATATATATATATATATATATATACACACACACATTACATTTATATATATTACCTATAAATTTACATATATATTAGTATAAATTTACACACACACACACACACACACACACATATATATATATATATATATATATATATATATATATATATACATGAAGCTAAAGGAATGTATAATAGAATTTAATATATTACATGACTATGTAGGTGTCAATGCAATATCGTACACATGTTGCCGACAAAGAAACCAGGTGCAAATGATTAAAAATTCGCACATTTTACACCTGTAAATATATGTACCCTCCATTGAAAGGGACGTTTGTTATTTTCAACAAGGCACAGACGGCTTTCCAACAATTAAACAGCAAAACTTAGAATTCTGATGACAAATAACAAGTATTTAGTTCAGGCCATTTTCAAAGATCCTACCTCAACCAACTGATTCTTTGTGGAGCGTTTAACAGAAACTGTCTTTTTAATTTTCATTTTTATAATTGTTTCCTTGAGAAAATAAAATGAAATAAAACCTAAAACTATAAATTAAATAAAATAAAAACTAAAAATATTTTAGTCTTTGTAAAACAGGTCAATTTAACAAAATTGTATTCCATTTCTGTTCTCATATGGATATCAATATATTTTCAATTGGAAAGAGCGCAAATTTTAATTAAAAAAAAATAGTAATCGCGATAATTAAAAAAAAAAAAACTAAATTAAACACCTATTTTTCAAAACAAAAAAATTTGCAAAAAAAAAAAAAAAAATGCCTTATTTACATTATTCGGACCATTGTCCTCATCTTTGTCGCCATATTTATCACCCTTCAGTATCTGTCTATATTTCTGAGATGAGGTATTATGTACATTATTTACATTATTCGGACTATTGTCCTCATCTTTGTACGTTCCGGCCTTCTTCAGGTGGTTGGAATGTCGAACTTAAGAAGGCCGGAGCGTACAACGGCCGAAACGTTGTAATAAATATGGCGACAAAGATGAGGACAATAGTCCGAATAATGTAAATAATATACATAATACCTCATGTTAGAAATATAGACAAAAAAAGCCTTACTTTACAAAAATTGTCAAAGGTACTAAGTCAATTTGTGAAAACTCCTGACGAGTGGGTGTGTAGTAAAATACAAAAAAAAAAAAAAAATGAAACACAATGAAAAAGGAAGAATTTATGTTTTGATAATTTGTAAAATATTGTGATCTATTTAAAAGACAGAAAGAGATAGGTGTAGATATCAACATACTTATCTAAATATGAATGTACATTCATACATGAATACATGCACGCATATGCAATTGTATTGTTTAAAATTAGAATATATTTATGTAGAAAGGTTATTTAATATCGGAGTTAGAGCGGGAAAACAGACATAAACACTAAAGTTGACGGACACTTTCATACTATACTAATATCGCACTAGACCTGAA